TGCTGGGGATTCACATCAGCCAGCAAGCTTTACACCACAGGACTGAGATCAGCTGGAGTAAGGGTTCCCATGATCTGGTTACAACTGATCTGAAGCTCATAAAGCAAGGTCACTTAGGGAGAAGTGTAAAACTGCTGTTACTATACCGTGTTACACTTGGTCTAAGTTGATTTTTATTTTTGGAGGACGCATGAATTGCATATTTGTTATGTTATGCAGAGTTATGTTCTCACTCTGATATCACAAAATGGTTACCTGGCTAATAGTGCTCAGCTAATTGCTGCTACCACCTTTTAGCAGAGTGTGAGAGGTAGGATGCACCTCTAAGCAAAAGATTGCCAGCTTATGGGTTTTATCCCAGGAAACAAGCTTCAATGCATACAACGCACGTGCAAGCAGTGCAACACCTGGGGCAGCCTCAGCCCTTCAGTTCAGAGCTTCACCATCTAGCCTTGCACTGGGGTGTCCCTTTGCCATGTCTGACTGCCACAACACAAGCCTGAAGTTAACTGCCTAGCATAAACAGGGCCACTCTTTGAACACCAGTCCTGAGGGCATTGCACCAATGCCTACAGCATTGCAGGCAGGCACTATCAGTATCCCAGGTGGGATATGGGAGCTGTCACAGACCATGGCTAACCCTGCTATTCAATCCCTATGCCCCACCTGAATCCATTAAGAGTTTTGACTGACTGGATGCTTTGGGCCAGGTGATGTCCTAGCACATTTTAAAGCATTGTACTGCAGACTGAACGTAACATAATAGAAGACTTCTGGTAATTTTCCACTAGCTGCAGAGAAGACTTTAGTCTATATCCTTGCTGTTCTTTCTGTGCATCTCTCCAGAAGATACCCTAAAATTACCAACATCAGCCCTGTTAAAAGTACTTTGATTCCTAGTGATATTAGCTGCTGAATTTTGTGTCTTGCAGCTAATGCTCTGTACCTGGAACAAATCCTTTCCTTGCTCTCAGAATAAGAAAGTAATCTCAAGAGCTTCTTGAATAAGCCCATGCTGTGCAGGTTTCAGGCAGAGGCATGCAGAAGAGCTCTTGCAGACGTACTCTGTACAAAACTGCAGACACAGACTTGTTTGAAATAATGTAAGTACTTTTGAAGTGTAAGTAACCTATTTAAGCACATTTATATCGCCCATCTTTTACTTTCTCACTGACGTGTGCATCCGCATAGCTTTTTCTGCAGACACCCCACTACCATGGGCTCCCATTTCCCCCAGGACACCAGGCCTCTCCCTGACATGGCTGCCCAGACACCTGCCTTCTTTTGTGTTCTGCCTCCCCCCTCAGCACGGGTAACCAGGCATCCTGGAGCAAGCCCAAGCACTTCAAACCACTGAGTATCTCAAGTTGGAAAGGACCCACAAAGGTTATCAAGGCCAACTCTTGGCATATCGTAAAGCAGTTATGGAGACCGTGCTCTGCCCCACGCTTCAGAAGCAGCATGATTCCCTCCTTTTGAAGGTGTAGTCTTTCCTCCCGTGCCTTCTCTTCCAGCCCTGAGCTGGGCAGCACTGAGCATTACTTAACCCTGCACCCACTCCATCTTCCTCAGGCCTCCCAGATCGCTCCTGCTCCGCTGGCAGCACCAAGCTCAAAGCCTCCCACATCTCACAGGGCAAGCAAACCGCTCGCTCCCTGGTGGAGTACAAAGCAAACCCTACAACCAGCAGGACCCTCATGCAGCAGCCGCCTGCAGCAGGCTCACATTCAATGCCGGCACAGCCCACGTGCGCTGCCTTTTGCTTCTCCCTTGCACTCGGCCCGGCCCCAGTTGCACGCGTGTTGCTGGGATCCTCGGAGCCTCGTGCTGCCCTTCAGCCGCGTGCCTGGAGCTGAGGCGGGGCTGCAGAACGCTGCCGCGCGGCCCCAATCTGCTGCTGCTTCTTTGGCGATGTGGGTTCCGCGGGAGGCTCCGGTAAGGGCCTTCGCTTCGTCATCAGTGTCCGGCGGGTGCCGGGGTGCTGCAGCCCCACTAGATGGCGGCAGCTCCTTGAAGGTGTGCGGGAATAACCGGAGCGGTGTTGTGGGGGGAGAGGGGGGGGGTTCTGAGGAGCGCAGCTTTGGGCGCGTGGTGGTACCTGCTGGGGGGGGAGGGGAGAAGGCAGGGTTTGCAGAGGTGGTGGAGGTTGAAGACCGCAAATACGGCATTTTTCCTTTAACAAAGGGTGAAAGTGACCGCGATGTGCTGTTTGTAGACCCGCGCTGAACACTTGGTGAAGGTCGGCTGAGAAACCTAGGGCAAAGCTGGGGAGTAAAGAAACACGAGTTCAGTGGCAGAGAGGAGGGGGGCTGTGATATTAGCCGGAATTGCCGAATTCCCTTTTGATCTGTACCTGTGATGTGCAGGAAGCAGCCCTTCTAATGCAGCAGTGATGCATTTCATATGGACATGCGTTTCTGAGTGCCTGGTGCATTAGGTGCAGAGCTAGGAGAAGCCCCAAACTCTCCTATCTTTCATCTGTAGTTACAGATTTACATGAAAGCTTTCACCAGCTGGGCAGTTATGGTGCCCAATGCTGCTGTCTGGCTGCCTGGTAGCAGAGCACAGAGTCACTGGGGTGTCTGTGAGTAGCACTGAGTGGCAGGCATACCCTGCCTCTTGCTATCATGGTTCCTGTAAAATAGAACGTGCTTTATTGCATTTCTATTATTCTGTTACAGCAACTGCCTTTTGCTGTAACATCTCTCCAGTGTTACACGTAGAAAGCTGTTCACCAGTCCACATACGAGGCAGCACAGCCTGTAAATGACTTGATGCGCAGAAATACAAGCCTCAATCTTCATTTGCTGATCTCCCAGCAGCTTGCTTAGGGTGTCTCTTCAATGAGCCACTTAGCAAATGGTTGAAGTGCTCACCCAGCTGTGCAAGTGAGACTTGTTTGTCCTGAGTTTGCTTTTTGTGGATCCGTCTGGCAAAATCAGGATTTATTCCCAGGAGTTCACGTGTGCCCAGTTCCACTTTTCCTCCACGCCTGAGTGCAGTGTGACTGCAATGTGGATTTGAGCCTTTTTCTGAGGTGCCTTTTTTCCCCTGCTTTCTCAGGATCACATGTGGAGATGCTGATTCCCTCTGGTTACAGGTGCTTGAGAGCCAGCTCCTCCCTGAATGAGAAGGGAGCTCACTACCTGTTAACTCTGTGCTTAATTAGTGGTCTGACAACTGGGTGGAAATGCTCTCTTCTGCACAAAGCGGTTCTGACTGCACTGTGTCACCATGTACCCAAGTATCTACTTGATGTCAGTGCTAAAATGTTTGCTGCACTTGATACGGCCTTAACTGGGGTGAGTATCTGGAGTTTACATGCAGCTCTTGATTCCCCCTGTGTGCCTGTTCTGTGAAACAGAAGGAGGGCTGAGCAAATAAGGGAAGGGGGTGGTGAGTTTGAGGTCTGTCTTTCCATTTGCTGAAGTCAGATGAGTGGAATTAAATGTGACCTGTCTGAAAGCCAACCTTGTTTCCAAAAAGTGCATGGGGAGCTGAGATCAGAAGACACATTGCAAACATTGCAGTAGCATAACTTGAGGCAAGTGCAATCATTTACTTGACTAATGAATCCCCTGGGCTGCAAGCAAGAGAGCAAATCTTTCATTCATCTTCTTAATTTAATAAGCAGAGGGGTTGGCCTTAAGGGTAAATGAAATGCATAGTGATCCCATGAATGTTTCAAGAAATTGATGTACAGTAAGATAAGGGAGATTCAGCAAATGACTCGCTTTATTCTGAGAGGCTGTCAGTGGGTTTAGGGGGAAGTGGGAGAAGTTAGAGGCGATAGCTCTGCATAAGGCTCTCCACTGAGGTTCCCCCATAATCTCTCTAATTTGTACAGGCTGGAAAGCGTTATTTTTATTGGGATATCATCTGGCAAGCTTAGTATGAAATAAATGCCTGTTGTGCTTGGTGCTGCATGGGAGACAGCCGTTAAAGAGCTCAGCAAACTTGCTGAGCTATGTAGCATGTGAAATACTGAGCTGGGAATGTCATCTGTAGCAAATCACTGTTGCATGGGTATACAGTGAAGCATTGCTCCTTGGAAGGGCTCATGGAAGAGCTGGAAGACACCTGTGCATGTGGGAGCCAGTGAGACTTCTGCCTTTCATGTTCTTAATAATTTTAGAGGAGAAATCAGTGGTGTGAAACAACAAAATGCTTTAATGGACTGAACAGTGATCGTTGCTTCTACCATCACAATGGTTACTCGTGCAATAACCAAAGTAAATTGTATTGCAAAACTGAGGCAGAGAAGAAGTTGTAATACTGCAATTGATGGTAAGCTTCTTAGCATAAAAATGGGATCAGGATGCTTTTTACACTGCACAGTGAAGTTAGTAGGTTGGAGGGGAAAAAAAACAAACCAGAAGGGAATACTTTTTAAACTTCACTTAAACCGTAAGCCATATAAAGTGACTTTAGGGAGCCTGACTAAACATAAGGAAGTTGAAAATGGAAGTACTTGGCTATTGGGAGGGAGAGGATTTGGGGATTAGATGGTCCATTGCTATCGACTGTAGTTAATTACTTACAACCTTCGAAGGGCCTTTATAAGGAGCACAAAATGCAGAGCAGAAAACTGCCCTGAATTCTCAAATTTTTATTATTTTTATTTAATCAAATTGTTACCTTTTGGTACATTAAGATTTTTGGAGTTTATGAAATCAAACTGGATTGCCAGATTTTCTGCTAATGAGGGTAAGATATACAGTTATCGCCAAGTTCATCTGTTGCATTGGAATATGAAAAAATTGCTTTCATTAGCTCAGTCTTACTTGATGGGATAGAAGCTACAGAATGCTGGTGGAAGCTACAAAATTTCATATGTATATTTCTTGTTACTAAGATGACTTACAAAGGAACACTGGTTCTGGCAGGACTGCTTCAGTGCAGCGGTGTTACAGGGTGTAGCAAATTGCTGTCTTTAATTTAGGTAAATACTTGTTGTATGCTAAAGTGAGCAGCACTGTTTTATTTTAGGTTCCAAGCTGTTGTTCAGAGCACCTCAAAGACTGAAGACCTTGAAAACTGCAGTACCACAGCATTTCTGCTACTACAAGGCCATATCCCTCAGAAACACTAAACAGGTACGTGGTTCTGTTGGGAGCACACATGTGGGCTCTGTTCACTTGGAAGGAAAGCGAATAGCCAGCTCTGTCGTGTCATTCCCCAAGCAGTCAGCAACACATCTGCAAATGCAGCGTTGCATAATACCTGTAATGCTGCAGTCTGTATTTGGTGATTGTGGATGCAATACGTTCCCATGTTGGGACATGGGTTGTCAGTTTCAGGGTTTGGAAAAGTTTATCTCTAACAAAGAAAATCGGACTGAACTGAATTGCTAGCTGCAGTGAAAATGCAAAGTCACAGCTTGAAGCAGTGATTGAGCACCTGGTGGGAAGGCAGGGCCAACCCAGGGCAGCACAGGTGTATGCAATGCAGCTGGGTGACTAAAAGGAGTGGAGCCAGGACCTTTATTTAAGGTCTTCATTTAAGAGCTGGTAGTGGAGGTGTCTTGCTGGATATCTCTGTGTGCCTGAGGCCTTCTGAAGGTAAGCAGCTTCTTTTTTTTGTTTCTGTGCCCGTGGATGTTGCGTTTGATCAAATCCTTATTTGCTTCAGCCTGGGACCTTGGTGCTGTGCTGTTATTGCTGTGCTTTCCATCACAGTACAATAGTGAAGTGTTCTTTGCATTGTTGTGGCTGTTTGAGATGTGTGTTGCAGGGAGCCATGGGGATGGGCACATGTCTCTGCCAAGCAAGGAGTCCCTGTGTGCTACAGCACTCCCTAGGCCTTGCTTGCTGGCTGCCTACTGCTGTTCCATTTTAACTGCTGTCTTCATCCCTTCTTGTAACAGGGCTGGTTTTATCAAACAGCTTGGAGCGAGGAGACATGCAGTGTCTGAGCCTGAGGAACACGTTCCTGCTGGAAGGGGTAAGCTGTGTAGCTCTGCCCTTCCCTGAACAGATGCACAGAGCTGGTGCAATTTGCCAAAGTAGCAAAAGTACCCCTCTTGTGGTTTGGCTGTTTGTCGTGATGGGTTGTGAGTGGAGCTGGTTGGCACAAGTGTCAGATAAATCACAGGGCTGGTGCACAGCAATGGGCTGGAGATGGGGAATAGCAGTGAGACTTTTGTGGTACTGCCCAAATGGCTGAATTGCAGAGTGTGGCCATGATGTGGGATGGGTGAGAGCTCTGCCTTGGTTCAGTGTGCCTGGTGCAAGCTAGTTCTCGTGTGCGGGATCTGGGTTAAGAGATTTTGCACATAGGCCCTCTCAGCCTGCCTCTTAGTGGCTGTTTTGCTGCTGCTTGCTGACTTTTCAGAACTTGAGACTGCTTTCTGCTAGTGTATTAGAACTATGAGGTTTTTTTTTTTTGTCTGTACTGCTAGCTGTCATTTCCTTCCTAAGAGTCTGGGCAACATTTAGATTAGAAGATCAAATAATGGAAAGAAACTGATTCAGCCCAGTCTTCGCCCCCTCGTGTCAGTGCCTAGATAATAGTATGGTTTTGGTGTGAACCTGGTGAGCATCGTGGTGTAAGGGGCTGGCAGTCTTGGCTGAGACACCTTGATTTTCAGTTCCTAGTCAGGTGAGCTTAGCCTGCTCCAGACTGGAAATCTGGTGTTGGGCCGCTGTCAGGTTTATGAGCTGTAGTCTGCCCACTGATGGGGCCAATGCTATCAGCAAGCCAGTTGCACACTCAGGCATTGCACCCTATGCATCTTATTTCCAAGGTTCCTTTCTTGCTGTGCTACCTCCCTGTGATCAAGGAGCACGTGGGTGAGTGTACTGCTGCTGGATATGGCTGGTGACTTGAGTTTGGCTTGAAATGGAAAAGCTGTGTCCTAGGGATATGCAAGTGCTGTAACACCAGCCAGGGCCTGAGCTTGCATATTCCTGTGTCTCTGAGGGTGGCTGGTGCCAGATGTGTCAGAGAAAGGTGCCAAAAATTCCTTAGTGTGCTTTTTCTAAAATGTCAGGCTCCTCACTCCACTGAGTGATGGCATCTTTTGTGTCTTCAGATGTGCCTCCATATTAAAAATGGTAGTTCTGTACCTTGTTCCAGAGCATGCTGGGTTTCATTTGGCTGGAGCTCCACATCTCTCCTGTGCTCCTGCCCCAGGAGGTTTGGCCTTAATGCACTTATCTACGTACAAGGAGAAGGGAACATTTCTGTTTTTACAGATGGCGTGGATTCAGGAAATCCAGTCAGCTGGTGTGGATCTGGAAACCATTCTGCCCTTATTAACACCCTCCAATGATATAAACAGAGAATCCCCAAAGCAAGGAGCAGTCTAAATAAAACTACAGGCCAAACCAGAACATCTGAGGTGTGCCAGATTTTGCCTTAGGGAGAGAGAAGATGGGAAGTGCCAGGAAAAGGAAGATCTTAATTTTGAAGAGAACAGCCCTATGATTAAGGAAAGTCTGTACTGTTGCCTCTACCTCCTGGGAGAGGGGAGAGATGAGGAAGGGATATCCTAGGGAAAGGGCTTTTCTCTGCCACTGCCTCATCTCTTCTCTTGGAAATGATTGGGGAGATCTAAGCCAGGGATTGTCTTGAGGCAGAGGTTGGAGGCTAAAAAGCCTTTATAGATCTGAGCTTGCATTTGCTGTCTGACTCAGTTTCCTGTCTGTAACACAGAAATAGCAACTAGAAATATCTGTGCCAGCGATGGGAGCTATGAGGTCTTGTTGTCCTTCACATTTGGACAGAGCTCAGGTGGCTGCAGGTGCACACCATCAGGAGCTGGAGATGTGCCACTTCTACTGGGGAGGATGTTTTTGCTTGATTCATCCCTGCTATGTGCCCTCACTTGGGTCTGTAGTGGAGCAAGCTGATCTTTAATGCTGTGTTTAGGGTGTTTCTGTGTCCTGCTGAATAGGTGGCAACAGTTCTTCCAGGGTTGATGTCTGATCGAGACCGAGCTGAAGAAGGGACTGGAAAACATCCTGTGATACAGCTTTGAGATCTGAAATTTTAAAAAGGGAATTTCCTCCTTTTCTTCTTCTGTCTCATCTCTTTCTGCTTTCCTCTTATCTCTCTTCCTTTTTGTTTATTCTTTCTCTGTAAATCCTAGCGTAAGTAAGAAAGATTTTAATATGCTCAGACAGGAGAGAAGTTGTTCCATGCGTTGCAGATGCACAACATGTCTTCATTAACTCCCCATGACATTCAAAATAGCTGGAGATAAAGACAAACTAAATCTAGGAAGACAAATATAAGTACAGTTTCCCCTCCCTTCCTCTCGCCCCTGCACAGTGCACCCCCCAGGACATGCATTCAATTACTGAAGATGAATGGAGCAAACAGTGCAGCATTTGGGATGCTTTAGAGCACTCTAAAGAGTGCTGCCAGCTTCTGCCATCAGATGGCCCCACACTTCACAAAATCTGCTCCCTGCACAGGGTTCAGCCTAAGAGATGCTCCATAAGACCTGCAAGCTCTCCTTTCCTTGGAGGGACAGGAGCTTGCAGCAGTCAAAGAAGGTTAGAAAAGCACTGAGTGGGCACTGATATTTTTCTGAGAGCACTCTGGAAAGTTCTGTTTCCTCCATCTGTGCTTTTTGACCTGAGTTGTTTGGAAGGGCAGCCCTTGGGTGTTTAAAGCACTGATAGGAGGCAGGGCAAGCACTTGCTCTCTTCAGCCCTGCTGTGTCGCTATGAACAAGCGATGAGCTGCTTCCCTGGGCATGTGGTGTGTGGACACCAGCTGGCATCAGTGGGAACAGTGTGCATGCCAAATTGTTCTGCAAGCAAATCTAGATGGCACCATGGAGAGCTGCTGGTTCTGGTTAGCTTTCATTTATCACAGAATCTTTTGAGTAGGAGGGGACCTGTAAAGGCCATCTGGTGCCGCTCCCTGCAGTGCATAGGGACACCCATAGCTTCATCAGTGCACAGAGCCCCAACAGCCTGAGCTTGGCTGTCTGCAGGGATGGGGCAGCATGTGAGGGCAGTGCAGGTGCAAGGGGTCTCAGAGATCTTATAGGCAGGATCCTAGCCTGTGAACTGAGCACTGTTCAGCAGTGATTAATGCAAGGTCTGTACAAGGCTTCATAACTTCCTGGTATCTGAACCACAGCTTGGTATGGGGGAGAGCAGTCCCTGTGCCCTGAAGTTAGCAGCCAGGCACCCAGACCTGGCTTGCTATGACTCAGAAGATGCCCAAAGAGGTGTTCTTTCATGTGTTCCCTCTGGTACTTTGGCAAACTGGAGCTCTTGTCAAGCTTCATCTGCCCGGAGTCTCTGATCTCAGCTCCTCTGTAGCTGCAGTGCTGGAGTTAGGGTGAGCTTGCCTTACTGTGAGCTGGAGTGCACATCTTCCCAAGGAAGGGACTTGCTATCTCCTTCCATTATACTCTTTTCAGTTCCCTGCGTCTCAGAGCACAGCAGATGATTATCTCACAAAAGCATTCTGCTTTTTTTTTTTTTTTTTTTTTTTTTCCCTGTGTAGTTCAAATTATCCTTTCCTAAGTGCATTACCTTGCATTTGTCTGCACTGAACTTCATCTGACTTCATGCTGCCCATCCACCTAGCTTTGTTAAATGTAATTGAGATTGAGTTTGGACTTGGGGGAGGCCTGGGGTTGATGTAGCAGAAAAGTAGTGGCCTGTGATTCCAGGACTATTAAAAAAAAAAAAAAAAAAAAAAAAAAAAAAAAGCTGTGTGAGCTATTGCAGTTGTTGAGTCCTCTTACATCCAGTTGTGCTCGTGTTGCAGTGAATTAAGTGAACACCAGAAAAGAAAAGGCAGGGCAGAATCTCATCTCTGCTACACCAGGCTTAAAACCAGAAAGCTGAATAATCTGTAGGTGAATTCATGTTTCATGCTCCTTCTGAGGTGAGAATCTGGCCCTTGGACAAGCTCTAGAAAATGCAGCTTCTTTCTTTTTCCAGTAGGAGTGGGTTGACAGCAAAATGAGTTCTGTTACCTTTTAAGTCCAAGGACAACCCCTGGGGGCTCACTACAGCCCCAGCAGGAACCAGGGCACAGTTTTCTTATTAAGAATGGTATCTGCTTCCAAGGATGTTAACCAAGTTCATCTACACAAATGAGCTGGTGAATAATCTTACTATTTACTTGGATTGTTTCATTGTTTAAATTACTCCAAGTAAGTGGATAATCATAAGAAGCTAAGTTTTTAATGAGAATAGTGGGGGTAAAGCCACAAACTGCAGTTAAAATAAATCTGCTGCTTGTGAATAGAATTGCACAGTCCAGTGCAGTGCAAAAGCAAGGGACTGGATTCAACAGCCTGGGCAGCAGTACCTTTCCATTCCCTGCTACTGAAAAGGCTCTTGTGGTGTAAGGTGACACGCTGTTGAGAAGAATCCAACCCTTCACATGGAGAATTGAACTCCATGCTATGATTTGTGTAGGTCAGACAGGAGATGTGTACTTTTTTTTGTGAGGATTCAACCAGAAAGAGATGCTGAGTTCAATTCTCCTTACTATGTTTTGTAGGAGAAGGTATTTCAACAGGAAACGGGGGGAAAAGAGGGGTTCCCCTTATAGGCACTGCAGCCATGAGTCACCTCAACTGCTGTAATCAACCTAGTGCTGAAACTTGAACAGTTGAGTGTAGAACCAAGAGGAGAATGCCTCTCTAAGCTGCGTGTCTGGCATTTCTCCGCCTTGCAGCTCCCCTATGGAAAATGTTGCGTTGTCTGTTCTACACAGTGTCATCTGAAATGGGCGGGGAGTTGTTGGTTTGATCAGTTGTGCAGCACCAACTGGACAGGAAATGGATGGGAGACTGTGGGTCATTCAAGCTGTAAGAACTCTCCACCTGTTTTGCAGCAGCAATCACCCAAATTGTGCAGGAGGTCTCCCTGTGCTGCCTCACCTTTTCCTTCATCAGCACGAGTAGTTCTGTCCTTCCCACATTGTTCCTTTCAGTGGTTTTTTATTGCCTTGGTGGGATTTCTCCCTCTTTCAGCTCCTGAGCCTTGCTCAGTGAATGGCTCCGGTGTCCCTGTGCACAGCTAGCAGCTTCAGGTAGCATTTAGTGGCAGTTAAAGGAAGCTCTCCTCCCCCACCTGCCCCTTTGTTGAATGAATCTAAAAAGGCTTTTATGGAAGGGGGAGTGCAGGGGGAAAATTAAAGGGCTCATAAAAGTGAATTTTAAGAAAAGCCTAATGAAGGAAATGAACCTCCTGAGAGATCAAAGCTGAACCTGCTGTGCCAGTGTAGAGAATTTAGGCTTTTTCTTATGTTTCCACTGGCATGAAAGTACATGCACAAACTTCTTCCAACAGATTTAACTCTTAATTTTCTATGCTGTTGGCACCAGTGATCTGCTTCTCTTTTGCTCAGTGCTAAGACTTGACTATTTCAGTAGGGATTTGCTTCTTATGTTAAGCCTCCTTTTGCTTTTGTAGAGGCTTGGGCATCCCAGCGGTGCATCAGGCCTGATAGTATGGGGGTATAGGGATACCACTTCTCCTCTTTCAGGGACCAGGTGAGTTCTGTACTCTGCTTTATGGAACTGCAAGGAAACTCCTGCCCTGAGTAGGAGGTATGAAGGCAGTCCCTCTCTGTCTTCTGATTTCTAGCTCTACTTCTCAAGAGGTAAATAGTATTTGAGGAGGGAATACTGATCTCCTGGTCACAGAATGTTACAAAGTCTTAATTTTAAGTTTTCTTTAAATTGGAAGAAAAAGAAAAGGCTCTCAGTGGGTTATGAGGGGGATGGAAATGCTGACTGAGTTGCACGTAGTTCCATTAATCATGGAAAGCGAAGTGAAGGCGCTTAATTTTAACCAATTTTTGTAGGCCAGGCTCCCCGTGCCTGCAGTTTTTCCATTATGCATGTAATCTTCTTTCTGAAAAGGTCTAGGTTTGCTTAGTATCAGTTCTTTGGTTGTTGCGGATTAAAGACTGGATGGTTCAAATTTGTCAGGGGCTGGCTCTGCTCTCCTCTCCTCATCTTGTCACTTGTCACCCTCGCGCAGGTCCCAAGGCTCTTACTTTTAAAGTGTTTCCATGTGTTTGAGAAGAGAATAAAAATGGGGCTGCACAGAGAGCCTTGTGCACTCACAGCTTCCCAGAGTGCTAATGAGGAACACATTGGCAGTAAGTGGCTGAGTAGAGCACTGTAGCAGGAACAACAACTTGCACACTGCCTTATTTATTGCAGGCCTGTTTCTCGGAGAGAGTGGATGTCAGCCTGGATTTGGACTTTCACCTAATCTTCTCTGAAAGTACCTGGAGATATTAAATGGCCACCTACTCAGCTGCTGGACTTCAGCTTAAAAGCCAGTCCAAAAGCCTCCTATGAAAGCAATCTGAAGGCACGGTGGTGCTGTAGGTCATGGCCTCAGGCTCTGCGTAAAATATTTGACCTGATGTATATATTTATATATATATAGTGTAAACCGAGGGTGATTTTTCCATAATTAGAGCGTTGCTGGTACAATATTGGTGCATGATCCTTTCTCTTTCCTCCAGGAGGTGATCCTGAAGCTGCTGTAAGAGCATGGTCTCCCAGAAACTACAGCATAGGAGGAGGCGATGGTCCTTGAGTCTATGTTGAGAAATAAGCCTTCTGTAGCACTTTGCTTGGGAAGATATAGGGGGGAAAAAAAAAAATAGGGCTTGGAGGCCATGTTCAGGGATGTTCACCCAGATTTTAGGAACTTTGTGGTCCTATCCACAGCCAGAGTGTGATCTTCATGTTAGCCCATTGCCTTAAATATTATTACTAACATAGGAATAACACATGGATCAAGAGGAGGATTTACTCTGTGGACTGGTGCCTGTGTTGCATTGCTATTTTGTCTCTTGCCTTTCTGAATGCAGGGAATTCATAACCCAGTCTGTGCCTGTGCTTCACTGTTGTGCCCTGTTCTCTAGTATTACTCCCTAATACCGAAAACAATGAAAAGCATTCCTGTCTAAGTCTCTTTTCATGGGAAAAGCTTGAGATAACTGATAGATCTTCTGTGGTGCTTCCAGGAATTTACAGCAGTATTGAATTTGGCCCAGTGAACATCGCTACACTTTAAAAGCCAGTCACTTAATTATTTGTAGAGTTAGTTGCCTGTTGAGATTCACGATTACCCACATGCATCCTAACAACTTGATTAAAATATCTTTGAAGCATGCTTGCTCTGCTTTTCTCCACTTACCTAGATCTCATCAGACCGAGCCGTGATGGAAAGCACTTTGCCTGTTATAACGCTGGCCTGCCAGCAATTAGCTTACAGTTACAGCAACCTAAAAACAATAAATAGTTCTAAAGGGGTCATCCTGAAGGTGAACAGAATAAATTTTTAAAAGGAGTTAAGCTTATTAATAGGCTAACCCAGGTGCTTCAGCAGTGAAAATTGACATTGCTCTAATTTACCCTGGCTGAGAACTTCACCCTCTGCATTAAATTACACAAATTACTATGAATATTGCAAACTACAGCCAGTCCCTTCCTGCCAAAGGATGAGCTCATGATACCTCACTTGCCTTATGAGGGGGTTGCAGTGACCAGACTGGGACCAAAGATGCAAACTCTCTGCAGCTCTTTCCGACTGCAGTCTGTGGCAGGATTGGTGATTTCTGTTAAACCATTTCTTCATCAGCAGCAATGCAGGAATAATGATCCCTGGGTTCCTCCTGGAGGTGTGGGAGTCCCTTACAGTTTGTGTGAGTGGGATGGGGTCGAACTGATTTTGCATTCACTCTGTCTTACTGTCACAAACACATGGCTTCCCATGGGGATGGTGTTTCCCAGTCTACCTGGGAGTCAGTTCAGCCCTGCACAAATCTGCTTATTTCCCTCAGACTTTTTACTGCCTATTTACGGAATGAGGGAGCCGAGGCAAAGCTGTTGCCTCACTCGTGCTGGAAAGTCTCAGTGAAGGAGGAAGCTGGCTCAGATCGAAGCAGATGCTATGTGGGAACAATTACCTGAGAGAAACTCGGGGAGGGAGTGCAAGAGATAATGAAACACCTAGGGATTTGGGAGTCAGCTTTCCAAGGAGCAGAGGGGTTAGCGGTTTAGAGCTGGAGCTTGCAGCTGTGGTGAAAATCAGCTTCCTTTTCTGTTTCCTCCTCCTTCCTCCCCCAGCTCGGGGGCCAGAGCAGCGGCTGACCTTTGGAGCACGAGTCATGCTGCCAGTGCAGAACTTGGGCTGTGGTGCTGCGCTGGACACGCAGATCGCTGAGCTCAGCTGCAGCCCTGCCTGGTGGGTCCTGAGCCCATGGCCTGTCAGCAGTGGGGCTCGCTGCTGTGTCACGATTCTGTCACCAGCTGAACCCCACGTGGATGTGAACTTAATGCCCTTGAGCTCCAGGAGAACAAGAGCAGGATGGGTGCCCAGAAATCATCCAGCCGCAGATTCCCTGGAGCCCACGGCTTTGTGAGATCCCCTCCCATTTCACTTTTGCAACCAAGCACTCTTATTCCATCAGCCCATCAGAAAAAGCTGGCTTTGTTTTCAGTTTACCTATGTGGCTTCTAGCTCTGCTGATAGGGGGTTTAGCACATGCTCTGATAGCAGGCTGAGCTGGGAGGACAAGGGGATGAGTAATGCTTGCCGGTTTCTGTACCTGTTGAGCCAGAAGATCAGTTTTAAGGCTGTTCCTTTCTGTTCAGCCCAATAACAAAACTTGTTTTTGTTTGGAGTGATTGACATTGCTGCAGAAAGGCTTGCACTGGTCAAAGTTCACAGCAGCACAGGGAACAGCAGTCGCTCAATGGTGCAAGCAGCAATCTTTGCCTTTATAATGGGCTTCAGACTTGAAAAGGCCCGTCAGCATGCAGGTATCTCCTGATGAGGGAGAAGCCTGTGTTTTGTGATCTTGGAATGTAAATTTTATGTTAAACTCATCTAGTATGCTGTCGGACCACATGCAGTGAGAACTGCATGGTGTGCAAACCTGTGTGGTTTTCTAACCCACACTGAGGGGTTTAAGTTGCACTGTTTCAAAACCAGGGTGCAGTTTGGCCCAATTCATACGTGGTTTCTGTTCTGAATCTAAGCATAAAAGCTGTGTTGGATGCTGGAGGAGATTTGAAATACTACTTTACAGTAGAGGAGACTACTCCCATTTTTCTTGAAGACTTAATTAACTGAGGCTATCACATGCAATCACCTTGGCTGTGTTGAAAATGTGTCCGGTTAGCAGTTTCTTTAGTAAGCACAGAGTGGATCAGCAAAGACTTGAAACATCTCTTTGTTCCTTATTTGTTATTGTTTCACCTGCCTTGAAATGGTAATTGCAAGTGCTTTGATTCATGGATCAGAATGCAATTTAATTTCAATTGTTGTGGGCCTGGAATGATGCTCTGGAAACTTCCCCATCAGCAAATCCTCCCAGATCCCCCAATTTCCCCCCCCCCCACCTCTCCGGCAGCAGCCCTGCATCTGTGATGGGAAGATGCAGGGAAACTTGTCCTTCTTCTAGTGATGGATTTGTGGTGCTCTTGTTCCCGCTTTTGTTGTTTATTTTTTAAGCTTTATTGTTTAACATACTTAGATTACATCCTTGGGCCAACGTGGAACTGAAGGAAGCTGTGCTCTGTACTCACAGCAGCAGAGGATCCTCCTTTCTATTGATTCAGACTCTTGTAGTGGTCTGTCTGGATTTTCTGTACCTGACAATTTTTCACCCTGTAACAAACCAGCCTTAATGCAGACTGAAACTTGCATTTAAGACAGCGAAATGTTTTGTTTTCACTGTGCTCAGGAGCTGCAAATTAGTGTTGCTGCTGGCATTACCAGCAGGAGATGCAGACCGTGCTGAGGGTTGGGAATACGACTGCCAGAGAATGGCTTCTGTGTTTGTTAGACCAGCCTGCGTGTAATGCTCTGAAAACAAACCTGGGTTCTGATCGGAGAGGAACAGTTCCAGAGCTGAAAACAATAGGAGGAACAAGCCTGGAAGGAGCCTTAAGAAACAATGTAGCTCAGCTCTGCTTCAAGAAGGGCCAGATTTACCTTAGGTTGTTCCTGATATATGTCTCTCATCTGTTCTCCATTTGCAGTGAGGAGTACTTTAACATACTGATTGGAAGGATTTGTCTCTTGAGTATTTCCCCTGTCTCCTATGGTTCCAGTCAGTATTGTTACTCCTTGTTGAATCAAGCCAGTGTGCAGAATTGCTTTTGTTCACTTTTGCCTAACTGAAGATGGGAGGGGAGGTGCGGCGGCAGGTTGGAATTTGCAGATCTTTTCTAGGCCGGATGCTCCCTGATGGTTCAGCCTTGTCTAATAGAGATCAGCTGAGAGGCATCATCATCTTACTGATTTCCTCCAAACTCCCTTCAGTTCTGCACTTCCCTTAAAACACAGCACCTGTGCAGCTGGTGGTACCACTGTGTGGATGCCCTAGAAATACAAGAATTTTTGAAGGTAAATAGTTGTTTATTGATGCCTAGCTTTATTTTTCCTTCTGGGTATCCTACAGAAGGCTCACTTGAGCTCTCCTTGCCCAGGCAGATCTATGGGATGCTATATCCTTACAAAGCTTCCAATACTATTTGAGTTCAACAGAAGTGGAAGCTCACATGAGGAAGATCCAGGGGATCCACGGAAGCCTGGAAGTCAGTGACACTCAGTCCTGCCCGGAAAATCAGTTAATCACTTGGGTGCTGAGAAAAGCCCTCAATGTCTGTGTGCTGTGATGCTGCATGCGTGGCTGTACCCTGCAGCAGGAGAGCTGATTGGAAGGTCAGGTGCTGCAGAGTGATTAATTTTGAGGCAGCCAAACCAAAGTAATGCTGACACCTCAGCACAAGAGGGTGCAATAGGTTTGCAGTATAACCTAGGCACGAGGTGGGTTGTCCCTTCTGCTGCAACAGTGCCAGCATTGCTAAGGCTTGCCTCACAAGCCTAACATCCTGTTAATTGGTGGAGTTTGAGCTGTGTGAGTTTGCCTCATTATTTTTGAGTCCTTTTCACTCAGTGACTATTTCCATAATTATGGTAATTAAACTTGCTGGGTTTCTAATTATTATTTTTTTAAATAATCAGAACTGTAGCTGAATTATGAGTGTGCCAAAATGAGTCTGGCAAATCATAATTTTAGTTTGCTGCATTATAAATCAAAAGCAGACTTGATTTCCCAGCTTGCTGGATGTTTTGTTAACCAGATCATTCCAGCTCTCCTGAGGCCTCGTATGCCGAGAGCTGTCCCTGAACGAACAATCAGGCTTTATAAATAGATCTGCAGCCTTAACAAGAGCATCACTGCCAGATGCTGCTGAAATAACTTGGGGACTTGTGCACAGAGGAAACTCCCTCATCTGGGGGATCTGCTGGGCTCCCATCCGTTATCCAGGACATCCCCTTGCTTGTGAAATTTCAGAGAAGCTGTTGGGATGCCTACGCTGGGGTCATTCAGGAACATTCCTGCGTCCCTCAGATGCTGGACTTGCCAG